GTCATATTTTCACTCTCATGGATTTGTTTTAATTGTCTTCAGCCTCAATTTGCATATAAGCAATTGATGGTCTGTTCCTCAGTCAGCTCCTGACCTTGTTTTGGCTGAAGATATTGAGCTTCTCTATTGCCTCTTTCCACAGATGTACCTGATCTGATTCCTGTGTATTCCATCTGGCAAGATCCATGTATAGCTGCTGTTTATGTCATTGAAAAAAATGTTATTTCCAAAGAATAGGTTATTGGTCTCATAAAATTCTATCATGCAACTTCCAGCATCGTTTCTATCACCCAAGCCAATATTTCCAACTACCAGTGATTCTTCTTTGTTTCCAACTTTCACATTCTAATCACTAGTAATAATCAATACACCTTAATTGCATGTTTGGTCAGTTTCAGACTGAAGAAGTTGGTAAAAAATCTTCAATTTCTTCATCTTTGGCTTTGGTAGTTGGTGGGTAAATGTGAGTAATAGTAGTATTAACTTATGTTAATATGTAGGCTTATGGATATCATCCTATCACTGACAGCACTGTACTTTAAGAAAGATCTTGAAACATTCTCTGTAATGAATGCCACACCATTCTTCTTCAATTTGTCATTCTGGCATAATAGATCATATGGTTGTCTGATTCAAAATGGCCAGTACCAGCCCATTTCAGCTCACCAATGCCTGTTGTTGTTGTTGTTGTTATGTGCCGTCGAGTCAAACCTCAAACCCGACTCATAGCGACCCCTCCTTGGGTTTCCGAGGCAGTATCACTACGGAAGTAGGATTGCCCAACCTTCCTTCCAAGGAGTGGCTGGTGGGTTTGAACCACCAGCCGTCTGGTTAGCAGGCAAGTGTCTTAGCCACTATGCTACCAGAGCTCCCCAATGCTTAGGATATTGGTATTTATGTGTCCCATCTCATTTTTTACAATTTCCAATTTTCCTAGATTCAATCTTAATACATTCCATGTTGCAAATATTAATGAGTATTTGGAGCTGTTTCTTCCCATTTGGTGTCACGCCCCATCAGCAAATGGAGGTTCCAAAAGCTTTACTCCATCCATATCATTAAGGTCGACTCTAATTTAAGGAGGCAGCTCTTCCCCGGTCATATTTTGAGTGCCTTCTGACCTGAGGGGTTCATCTTCTGGCACTATAGAGAACAGTGTTTCAGGACTATTCCTAAAGTTTTCCAGTAATACAGAAGACACCATTTCACTACTATTCATAAGGTTTTCACTGGCTACTACTTTGACAACTGGATAGCACCTTCCTTCTTCTGAGTCTGTCTTAATCTGGAATTTTCACTGAAATGTATCCATGAGTGACTCTGTTGTTGTTGTTGTTGTTGTTATATGCCACTGAGTCGGACCCAACTCATAGTGACCCCTCCTTGGGTTTCCAAGGCAGTATCACTACAGAAGTAGAATGCCCCTTCTTCCTTCCAAGGAGTGGCTGGTGGGTTTGAACCACCAGCCTTCTGGTTAGCAGTCAAGTGCCTTAGGCACTACACTACCAGAGCTCCTTGGGTGACTCTGCTGGTACTCAAAATAACGGTGGCATAGCCTCCAGCCTCACAGCAACATGCAAGTCACCACAGCAAGACAAACTGACAGATGAGTGGTTAGCCTTTCTCTTGTGATTGTTTTTTTCCTGATGACATGTCCTAAGTAAGCAAGATAAAGGTATCTAAATAACTGATAGTATGTCTATCTTACTAGCACTATTTTGCAAATAATAACTAAAAGAAGTACATTTGATTTACTCACAGTTGCCCTTTAGTGTCAGGTAAATTTGCCATCACTTTGAAACAACTAAAACAACGCCTACAGGCAACAAATTTTTCATCAAAATCACCTTCACCTGCCACATGTGCAGCTTTTAAATCACTGAAGTGGCTTCATGCCTTTCCTTCTACTAAAGCAAGTTCAAATAAGAACTCTATACACCTGTTCCAACTTACTTGCAAATTTGACTTAAAGACACTCTTAGGAACAGGTATCATGTATAACCAGGGACTGCCTGTAGCAATGTGAAAATTATTTACTCAATATTATTCATAGAAAAATTAAGACAAATTTCCAGCACAAATCACTTATAGTTCTGAAGACTTCAATCAAAAAGAGCAGGGGTATTTATTATAATGAATAACTGATATGTCTTTAAAGACACTTTTAATTCCGAACATTCTAAGTCAGCCTCTCTTTGATATGAAAGAGTCTTCTTTATTAAGCAAAGGTATTTCCAAATATCTTACAGAAGTTGGCCACACTGAAAGAGACTGCATGAAAGTTCTGGCAATCATTCCAGAAGTACACAGATTCCATAGTTCTTGGGGGGGAATAGGTCACTTTGAGGTCAGTTAGCTACTTCTGAAAAACAGTCATATTCATAGGACAGACACTTGAAAATCAGACACTTGAAATGGACATTGCAAAGACAGCCATAGAAATTTAAAGCATGATCCCTTCTGAAGAACCAAAACAAAACAAAATAAAAAGCAAGAATATCTTCTGAAGTTATAATCCCACCTCTATGAAAGCTTTGAATTTCTTCAAAAATCTATGATTCTAATGAACTAGAAATAATTTAGCACTTAGGGATTTAGCAAGCTCTCAATTTCCAGGTACTCATTCAATCCTAGTTAAATCTGATTAGTACTTCTTAGAACAAATTAACAATGCTTCACATTTTCTCGTGTTTAATTTCTATGTATTTAGATGGTTCATTAAATGAGTAAAAAAGCATAATCTTGTGAGCCCCAGAGTCCTAAAGCTGGGTTTTTCTGTGCTTTTTAATTCCAGAAAGTCCTTGATCTGAAGAAGCAGCTCAGTTAACCTACTGAACAAGCCATCTGATTGCATCAAATTAAACAAAAATGTCTATATCCCAGCTTCTCCAAATAGTCCATCACCATAGAATGGTTAAGGGATACAGCATGAAGAAAATTCACAATCTTTGTCACTTCCTCCTTCAATCAGGCAACCAACCTGACTTATCAAATTCATAACTCATCACAATCCTGCTATATCATGTAATGGATGCCTAATGTTTTAAGTTCTGTTTTGAATACTTCCAAAACTATTTTTCCTTTAATTCTGTAGTCTCAACTCTGACCAATACACATATATATTTTGTGTTTTATCCAGATTTTTCAAATCCCTGTTTGGCATATGACTACATCTACTTTTCCTTATATGATAGCTAATTAAGTGAAAATGTTTCACACCAAATTTCAGGTAGCATTCATAGTAAGATCAGACAGACTCCATTTGGCCTGAAAGTGGAAAGTCATGGCACGTGTATGGGCTCTAGTCTAGCTAATTTCCATTATCTTCAATCAGGACTAATGTAGTCACTGGCCTTTCTCTAAGTACTGCTGTAGCCAAATGACAAAGATTCTAATATCCTGGTTGGAAAAACTAGAAGATCTCAACCCTCTTGACATCAAAAAAAAGTTTGATGTTTTAAAAATAACATAATTCACAGTAACTTTCATATCCAGGGATTACATAAGGGACACATTTTATCTCTATATAACCTATAATATCTCGGAAGGAAGACTGGGCAATCTACTTCCGTAGTGATACTGCCTCAGAAACCCAAGGAGGGGTCGCTATGAGTCGGAGATGACTCGATGGCACATAACAACAACACCACCCTATGATATAGTATAGTGCAGTAGATTACTTGGTATGGCTCTTCTAGCCATGGTCTTCATGATTCCCACCAGATGACTGGGTGGAACTATGCAAATATAAGGTGCTTATGGCCCACCAGGAGCTCTGGTAGCATAGTGCCTAAGGCACTTGACTGCTAACCAGAAGGCTGACGGTTCAAACCCACCAGCCACTCCTCGGAAGGAAGATCGGGCATTCCTACTTCCGTAGTGACACTGCCTCGGAAACCCAAGGAGGGGTCGCTATGAGTCAGGGCTGACTCGATGGCAAATAACAACAACAACATGGCCCACCAAGGGGGTGGATAGCTTGCTAATAACATAAATAAGGTACATGGCATCATTGTAGGGGTACGTCCATGGAAATAAGGTATATGGAATCCTAATGGAGGGATTGTCATCCCCAGAGGCAGAAAGGAGGATCTCACTGTCATCAAGATAGAGAATATTCTAGAGTGGAGTGCATCCTTGGACCCAAGGTACCTGCACTGAGAAAACGGCAGAGGTGACCAGTAGACAGACCACAGCAGCAAAACTGAGAGACTGACATGAAACAGAGCACTGGTCCACAGAGCAAGAAAACTGAGCTCCTGCCTGAGCAGAGAAGAGGCCAAGCCGAGATGCCAAGGGCTTAAGAGAGGCGTGACTGCAGGCATAACAGAAGCAAAACTGTTCCTGATCAAAGAACTGTACCCTGACCTTCTTCCTGAACCTGAAATGTGAAGTGTAACCTGTTACTTCACTAATAAACCCCATAATCGTATTGTTTGTGAGTTCTGTGTGGCCACTGCAAGAAATTATCAAACCCAGCAGAGAAGTAATGAGAGCTGGGGGGGGAGGGGACTGTTGGTAAAAAGGCTGGAGGGTGGTGGCCTCTCTGGCTTCACAGAAATAAGCCTTGGGTTGCTAATAGTGGTTCTCTCCCCCTTGTGAAGTTAGAGAAGGTCAGAAGATGCCACCTCAACACTCTTCTTACACATAGCTAAACTTTAATTGGGAATAAACTGTTTTGTTGAATTAAGCCTGTTTTGCTGAACTAAGCTTAAGCATATTTGTTTCAATATTAATTATTTTTTTTAATTTTACAATCCATTAGTTTATTACTTTACCTTAATAAAAATCGTCTCAAATATAATCAACATGGACCATATAATTCTATATCATTTCATGAACTAAACCCTTAATATCAGTTTATGTTGCAGTTAATTTTTCTTCTGAATCTTAAAACTAAAACTCTGAAAAAAAAAAAAAACTGATTAACAGAGAATTATTTGAAGCTGGTGATTATTAAATACCATTGCAACACATGAACTCCAAATGAAACAACACACCTGGTTGAAGGATGAATAACTATCAGAGCAATTGTCTGTGCAGTAACTATTGCTTTTCTCCTTTTGGATTTTTTTCTGCCTCTCTTCAATTCGTATCTCATCTTCTTCAAACTTGTTAATCATAGATTCCACCACTACCATCATGATGTTCTTCAAGGAATGCATCATTTCTTTGTACCTTTAAATTAATTGAAAAGTAGTTTATTAAGACAAAGTCTATTGGCACAAATTTTAAAAGTCAACTAAGTTAACCAACCCCATCATTTTTTTATTATTATTAAAAACAGCAATCTCTCATCAAGCTCAATTGCGTAACATACTATACATGAAACCAGAAGAACCAGATGGTGCCCAGCTACCACTGTCAACCACTCAGAAACAGATCAGTACAGGAGATCATGGATAGAGTGGGAGAATAATGTGAAACAAAACTCAAAATCATAAAAAAAAAAGGACCAGATTTACTGGTCTGATAGAGCCTAGTGAGACCCAGGAGACGCTGGCCGCTAGTTACCCTTCAGGTCTGGAATTGAACTCACTCCTGTGGCTTCCAGCTATACAATAGATAGGCATATGAGGTGAACATTTACAAAAGGTAGATACACTCCTTAGAGTAATCAGCCAACCATGGGAGAATAGAAGGGCAGTGTTTGCACAGGGATAAAGCTCAGAGAGTACGAATGTATAGGAAAGAAGGACACAGGAACAGGTAACTACAGGGAGGAAACAGGAAGAGAATTATTACATTGTGGGGAATTGCAGTCAATGTCATGGACAAAATGTGCATGAACTGCTGTATGAAAAATGAATTTGCTCTCTAAACTTTCACTCAAATCACAATAAAAATCAAAAAAAAGTGGCCCCTTTAAGATCATAATTCTATGAAGGTGCAGAAATAAACCCATACATCTATTGTCAAATGATTTTTGACAGGATACTAAGTCCAATCAATGGGGAAAGAAGAGTCTCATCAACAAAAGGTGCTGGTTGCTGGTTCAAGAAACCATAAGAGATCTACATAAATGGAAGAACATACCATGCTCTTGGATAGGAAGATTGAACACTGTGAAAATGTCAATTCTACCCAAAGCAATTTATACATTCAATACAATTCCAATCCAGATCCCATCAACATTCTTTAACATGGAAAAACCAATCATTAACTTTATATGGAAAGGAAAGAGACCTCAGACAAGCAAAGCAATATTGAAGAAGAAGAACAAAGTAGGTCTCACACTGCTGGATCTCAAAACCTACTATACAGCCATGGTTGTCAAAACTGCCTGGTACTTATACAATGACAGACACAGACCAACGGAATAGAATCGAGAAGCCAGAAATAGATCCATCAACCTATTGTCAGATGATCTTTGACAAAGAGCCAAAATCCATTAAGTGGGGAAGAGATTGTTTAATAAATGGTGCTGGCAAAACTGGATATCCATTTTTAGAAAAATGAAACAAGATCTTTACCTCACACCACACAAAAAAATGAACTCCAGATGGCTCAAAGACTTAAATGTGAAACCTAAAGCTATACAGTTCCTCAAGGAAAAACTAAGGGCAAATTTAGGGTCCCTAATATAGGAGCTCTGGTAGAGTAGTGCCTAAGGCACTTGACTGCTAACCAGAAGGCTGGTGGTTCAAATGCACCAGCCACTTCTCGGAAGGAAGATAGGGCAATCTACTTCCGTAGTGATACCACGTCGGAAACCCAAGAAGGGATCACTATGAGTCAGGTCCGACTTGATGGCACATAACAACAACAATATATAGCATAAATAGACTATTAAGCATAACCCAAAAGGCACCAAAACAGCACAAGAGACTATCAAACATAACCCAAAACAGCAGAAGAGAAATTAGATGAATGGGACCATCTAAAAATTACATTTTTATGTGCTTCCAAAGACTTCTCCAAAGCAGTCAAAAGAGACCCTAGAGATTAGGAAAAAATATTTGGCAATGACTATCTGACAAGGGACCTATCTCTAGCATTTATAGAAAACTCCAATACCCCAACAACAAAAAGACAAATAATCCAATTAAAAAATGGGCAGAAGACATGAATAGACACTTCACCAAAGAGGATATTCAGCCAGCCAACAAACATATGAAGAAATGCTCACAATCATTAGCCATTAGAGAAATGCAAATCAAAACAACAAAGAGATACATACCATCTTGCCCCAGCACTAGTAACAAAGTCCAAAAAGACAGAAAATAATAAATGCTGGTAAGGATGCAGAGAGATCTGGACTCTCATACACTGCTGGTGGGACTGTAAAATGATACAACCGCTGTGGAAAGCAGTATGGCAATTTCTTAAAAAGTTGGAATTAGAAATACCATTGACCCAGCCATTCCATTACCAGGTACATATCCTAAAGAAGTGAGAGCCAGGACAAGAACAGATATATGCACACCATGTTCATCGCAGCACTATTTACAATAGCAAAATGAAGGAAGCAACCTTAGGTGCCCATCAACAGAAGAATGGATAACCAAACGATGGTACATACAAACAATGGAATATTTACTATGCAACCTTAATGAATAACGTAGAATCTGCAAAACACAACATAACGTGGATGAACTTGGAGGACATTTTGCTGAGTGAAATAAGTCGCTCACAGAAGGGCACATATTGTTTCAGTTCATTATTGTAAAAAGTCAAGGAAAGGTTTATACATGGACAGAAATTTTCTTTGTTGGTTACCTGCGGTGGGAGGTGGGGGGGGAACTGTTAGATAGGTAGAGACAAGTATTGATTTGAGTGAAGAGAAGGGCAATTCACCAAATATGAGTGATTAACACAGTGGCAATGAGGAAGAGGAAGACATAGAGAGGTGCATGGAAGGTATAGACAACAAAGATGAACCCTTTTGGACATACAGTACTGGTTGTCGGTGAAGGCAAACATGGATATATGGGTGAATAGATGGGTAGATAGGCTGAACTATTAGGTATGTCTATGCAGGCGGAATTGTGCCCATCACCATGTATAGGGTGTTTCTACAAGTGTATTTGTATGTTCTGTAAGAATTCCCAGGTATATAGAAGACCTGACAAGGGACAAGGTTGGTAGTCACCTCTTGGCCAAAGCCAGCTACCCAGAGGGAGGAAGTAGTTTGACCTGTGGGCTAGGGACCATAGTCACAGGGGACATCACACTCAAATTGGCATAACATACTATACAAAAAGCATTGTTCCACATTGTTCCACATTGTTCCACATCCTACTTTGATGAGTAGTGGCTGGCATCTTAAAAGCTTACAAGTAGCCATCTAGATGCAATGATGGGTCTCTCTTCATCCAAAGCAAAGAAGAATGAAGAAAACCAAAGATTCGTGGAAACAATTAGTACAAGTGACTAGTACACCATGTGATCCCCAGCCTATACAACTATAAGACCAGAAGAACTAGATGGTCCCCAGCTTCCACTGTCAACCTCTGAGGGGGATCTATGTAGGAGATCTCTATGTAGGAGATCCTGGAGAGAGTAGGAGAACAATGTCAAACGTAACTCCAAATCATTTAAAAAAAAGGGGGGGGGGGGACCAGGTTTGCTGGTCTCATAGAGCCCGATGGAACCACTGAGACTATGGCCTCTAGCTGCCCTTCAGGTCTGAAAGTAAACCCATGCCGGTAGCTTCCAGTCAAACAAAAGACATGCATATGAGGTGAACATTTACACTAGGTAGATATACTCCTCGGAGAGAACAATCATGGGAGAATAGAAGGGCTGTGTATGCCCAGGGAGACAGCTCAGGGCGCAGGAGTGCATGGAGGGAAGGACACAGGGAAGAGGTAACTATGAGGAGGAAGTGGGAGTGGAGTTGTTGCATTGTGGTAAATCGTAGTCAATGTCATGAGACAAAGTGTATGTGAACTGCTATATGGAAAATGAATTTGTTCTGTAAACTTTCACCCAAATCACAATAAAAAAATATATAAAACTGCTCAAAAAAAAAAAACAACAAAAACATCATTCCACATCCTACTTTGGCGAGTAGCAACTGGGATCTTAAAAGCTTGCAAGCAGTCATCTAGATGCAATGATGGGGATCTCCTCATCCAGAGCAAAGAAGATTGAAGAAAAGCAAAGATGCGTGGAAACAGTTCATGCAATCCTCAGCCTATATGACTATAAGACCAGAAGAACTAGATAGTGCCCAGCTATCATTGTAAACCACTAGGAGGGGGATCCATGTAGGAGATCCTGGATAGAGTGGGAGAACAATGTGGAACAAAACTAAAATCATTTCAAAAAAAAAAAAAAAAAAGGGGGGGGGCGAGTTTTGCTGGTCTCATAGAGCCTGATGGAACCACTGAGACTATGGCCCCTAGCTACCCATCAGGTCCAGAATTGAACCACTCCTGTGGCTTCCAGCCAAACAAAAGACAGGCATATGAGATGAACATTTACATTGGGTAGATACACTCCTTGGAGAAAACGATCATGGGAGAATAGAAGGTCTGTGTATGCACAGGGAGACAGCATACACAGTGGGTAGGAGTGCATGGTGGGAAGGATACAGGGAAGAGGTAACTATTGGGAGGAAGTAGGAGGGGAGCTGTTGCATTGTGGGAAACTTCAGTCAATGTCATGAGACAAAGTATATGTGAGCTGCTGTATGGAAAGTGAATTTGTCCTGTAAACTTTCACCCAAATCACAATATAAATAAATAAGTAAATAATGCTTGTGGCCTTATAAGGTATAGCTATTGGTCTCTCCCCATCAAGAGCAAAGAAAGAAATTTTCTTCACTAAGAAAATCAAAGATGCATGGAAACAATTAGTCCAAAAGACTAATCAATCATTCAAATATCTGCTTCCTCTTCTGGACCCTGAGACCAGAACTAGACGGTACCCAGCTATCACCACTGACTGCTAGTATAGGGATCACATTAGAATGTCCAAGATACAGTAGAAGAAAAATGTGGAACAAAACTTAAACCTGTAAAAAAGACCAGACTTACTGGTTGGATAGAGACTGGTGGGACCCAGAGACAATGACTCTTAGTTACCCTTCAAGCCTGAACTCACCCCAGTAGCTCAATTTTCAGCCAAACAATAGATAGTCTATATGGAACAATAACATTAGGAAGGTACACACTCCTTACAAAAATCAACCACTGGAGATCACAAGGGCAGTATGTGCCCAAGGGTAAAGT